TGCCCTGGGGCACTGTCACCCTGTGGCAGTATCACTGGTTCCCATCTCCCACCAGACACAGCAAGAGTCAAAACAGGAAAAGTTAAAAAAAAAAAAAAAAAAAAAAAAGAACTGCTGTGAATGCTCAATACTGAGATTACACAGGTTGGGTAAGTGGGACTCAGCACCTCACCAGTGGGCTGCCTCTGAATACTGGTGGTGACTCAACGCAGTTTAACCACCTGCATGAAATTCATTCGTTCCTTTGCTGTGGGATTGGGTCCACAGCGTTGCAGCGCTGGCCACGAGGCCCCGAGCCCATCTGTGACCCAGGGATGCTCCTGCTCAGGGGCTGCTGGGCTCTGAGAATTCTGCTGCGGGGCAGAGCAGGGCTCTTGAGCACAGGGAGCACCTGGGTGCACATCTGGGTGAAACATCTAAAATATCTAAGCATCATTTTGCTCTGTCTGGTCTCCTGGCTGTCAGTCTCAGCAGGGGATCCTAGTGCAGAGTATGAGGCCAGGAGATTATTCTTTTTCTCCTTTTAAAGCAGCCATCTCTGCACCTGGGAATGCAAAGGCGGCAGCCGCCCAGTGGAAAGCAGCGCCTTCCTCACTCACAGCAGCTTCCTATCTGCAATAAAAGGGAGAAACAAAAAACAAAAAGAAAAAAAGGCCCCTCCAGGAATTTAAAACCCTGATGCTCTCTAAAACCAGTTTTAAGTTTATTTGAGAGCAAAGTGACTGTGCATGTCTCATCCAGCACTACGCTCCAGCACCGTGGCTCTTGTGAAACAGCTGCCTCAGGTGAAGCCTCAGAAACGCGGAGGCTAATGAAGAACTTGGTTACTAACTCCCCTCCCTGCTCCCTCGTGCCATTGCTTTAGTGAAACTTTCTGGGGCTGGGGAATCAGAAAAGGAGCTGTTTGCCTTGAAAGGTCAAGTGAGATGCAGCATGGAGTTAGGAGCTATGTACATTAGCAGGAGAACTAAAATCACTTGCAACTGAAATCACTTTGGCAGTGATTCTTGCAAAGAAACCACTTTTAATTAGTTTTTCTCCGAGTCTGACTAAGACCAATATGGTCTAATAGAACACAAGAGCAACTTTTTTCCACTCATCTCTTCCATCTCCCTGTCCCTTTCCCCTCCCTGTCAAAGGGAAATACGGACCTAAACTCACGCTCACATGTAAAACTGAACTGGAACATTTCCCCACAGACAACAAAATACAAGTCTCATCTACAGCTTTTTTGCTATCCGCATTGAGGAATTTTACATAGAAGGGGACACCGAGTCTATTGAACAACTTACACTTGGCTTTATGCAGGCTGGGAATCAGTCTCAGAACTAGAAATGAAAGTGCTGGGAACATGCAAAGATCTTGTTCCTACAGTTGTATGTTCAATTATTTCTCTTTATTGGTGTCAGGATGAAGCTAGAAGAGGACATCCCAGCTGGTAACAACAGTGCATTTCTGTCATACCTTCCACTCAAGGAACAAAGAACAAAACACCATGACTGCCCACCCAAGGCCCCCACACCTCCAGGCTGCTCCCAAGAGCACCCAGCCAGCTCCCTGCCCCAGCCCCACGGCACCGACAACTTGTCCCCTGGGGCAGCAGCTATTGAGTTGTCACAAATGACAAACTGGCACACTGCAGATGCCCTGCTTCAAAACAGCAGATTACAGAGTGGGGCACCTCAGCTGTTGTCCCACAGGACTGTGAGCCTTCTCTGCAACACAACTTCATGGGGATCTCCAACATTATGATCTCCATCAGTGGTGGAGCCAGACAGCGGCTGCACTTGCTACTGCAGCAGTGCCAGTGTGCTTTGCTTGGGGGACAGACACCTAAATCTCATTCAAGGCTGCAAGGTACCTGAAATTTCTGGCTCATCTTGGACACGGAGAAAGCACAAGTTTGTACACAGAGGTGTAACTCGTAAAAAGCCATTCAGAGAGGCAGCAGCAGAGCTATGGGGTGTGCTAACACAGATCAGATGGGGCTCTGATACTGACCTCAGTACCAGTACCCTTCTGAGTCAAGGGGGAGTAAAAGGAGGGAAAAAAATTAATTCACACTAAGTGAATTTAGCCTAAACATCACCTTTAGTCAGTCTTTGGATCTGCAAGTTCAAGCCTCTGCAAGTTTTAGATCCCAAGTTCAGTACTGAAATCCAGTCTTACATTGCAGGCCATGGCTCCCATCAAACACATGATCAGTATACTGCACCAGCTCAGACTGAACTAGAACCCAGAAGCACCAGCAGACTTGTGCAGATTCCCATTCCCACATATGACAGAATCATGGAATGATTTGGGTTGGAAGGGAGCTTTAAAGGTCATCTAGTCCAACCCCCTGCAGTGCGCAGGGACACCTTCCACTAGATCAGGTTGCTCACAGCCCCATCTGGCCTGACCTTGAAAGTTTCCAGGGATGGGGCATCTACCACCTCTCTGGGCAACTTCTTGCAATGTTTCACCACCCTCAACATAAAAAAATTTCTTCCTTACATATCTAGTCTAAATCTACCCTTTCAGTTTATAAACTTGTCCTATCTCAATGGGGCCTGCTAAAAAGTTTGTCCCCATCTTTCTCCTGCCCCCCCTTTAAGCCCTGGGAGGCCGCTCGAAGGGCTCCCCGGAGCCTTCTCTTCTCCAGGCTGAACCCCCCCAACTCTCTCAGCCCGGCCCCCCAGGGGAGCTGCTCCAGCCCCCCCAGCATCTCCGTGGCCTCCTCTGGCCCCGCTCGAGCAGCTCCGGGTCCTTCTGCTGTTGGGGGCCCCCGAGCTGGCCCCAGCACTGCAGGGGGGTCTCCCCAGAGCGGAGCAGAGGGGGAGAATCCCCTCCCTGGCCCTGCTGCCCCCCCTGCTCTGGCTGCAGCCCAGGGCACGGGTGGGTTCTGGGCTGCAAGTGCATGGTGCTAGCTCACGGGCAGCTTTTCATCCCCCAGTACCCCCAAGACATTCTCCACAGGGCTGCTCTCAATCACTTCATCCCCCAGCCTGTACTGGTATCAGGGGTTGCCCCAACCCATGTGCAGGACCTTGCACTTGGCCTTGTTGAACCTCATGAGGCTTGCATGGGCCCAGTTCTTGAGCTTGCCCAGGTCCCTCTGGATGGCATCCTGTCCCAGGCGTGTCAACCGCATCGTACATAGCTTGGTGTCATCTGCAAACTTGCTGAGGGTGTGCTCAATCCCACTGTCTATGTCTTTGATGAAGATACTGAACAGTACTGGTCCTATCCTCCTCGCTAAAGGAAAATGACTGTTGAAGCAAACTTACAGAAGAAAATCTTCACGGTGCTTTTCCAGTCCACACATGACAGCTCCATGCGTTGCCACCCATCCCTGTGTCAGGAAGCAGGGCTTGAAGATACTATTTCATGCCATCCTGCAAGTCTGCTGTAATGATTTAATGTTCACGCAACACTCAAAAATGTAAATTCTCTGCCAATGCTAAACACTGTTATTAACAGACTTTAGGGACATTAACTAATTGAACGCCTATGACGATCACAGCTGGATAATGAAGGTCAGCAAAGAACAATGCATATGGCACAACGACCACGCAAACCATTGTCTTCTACAGACATGGTATGCTTGGGAAGAGAAGGATACTATCTGAACATTACCACAAGAATGGAGACTATGCAGTTGACATTTTAGGACCCTTCTTTTCCCAGTCACAGAACTGGACAATAAGCTGGAGTGCTTGCAACCTGAGCACCTCATGAAGCTTTGAGACCATTCCTGCACAGGGAGGGTTCTCAGCTTCCTTGTGATGCACAGCATTTGCTTTAAGTCAAAATCAGTCAAGACATACAAGATGCAGATATGCCCCTCCTTCTGGATTTTTACCTCCATAGAGACTTGATACTTACCTTCAGATCAACTAAGAGCTAAATAAACTAGCTTTCTAGTCCTGAGCCGAGCAAGGCAAGGGATCAAAGCGAGAGTCTCTTCCCAGAGCAACATGACCTCCCACTGACATCTCAGACTTCATCTCCGGTCTGCCCAGACCAGAGGTCCATACACAACCAGTGGCAGCAGCAGCACTCACGTGTTCCCAGTTAATATGCATGCACCGTGGCCACATCTAACGCAGCATTCAATATTTTGCCTGTTCTGAGCTAAAGCAGCTTGACAAAACATTATGCTGGACATAAGAGAAAGAAAAAGTAATGCTGTACTCACACACATCTGAATTAAATCCAAAATTTTGTTTCTAGCTAAGACTAGGTATTTTGATGGGGTCAGTTCAGTGCTTTTCTAATGCTCTATTATGGAAAGGAGAACAAAAATACACCAAATCCCTGCAGAGCTACAAGAAGTAACTAGTTAAGGAATAATAAAGCCATGGAAAGAAAGGACAGGAGGGGAAGATAAAGGGCAGTGGGTTTTTTTTCCTAATCCCACCGACACATTTATTAAGCCCTTAGATTTGTGTGCATGCAACTCACAGACAACCACACAGGAAAGACTTTGCCAAATTAACACATGCATTGCATCCTGCAAAGTAAAAGCAAGCAGAAACAACACAAATGCCACGAAGCACCCCACAACAGCACGAGGTGTGAAGTGTCTAACCCCACCAGCCATCCTGCAGTGGTTGGTGCCTGCTCTGGAGCAACAGAGAAACTCACAGGAAAACAGAAAGTTAACTCTAATAGAGGGAGGAAAAGGGCTAGGTCATCATGTGGCAGGATCAGAGTTCAGTTAAAACCAGTCACACAGAGGAGGTTCAAAGTAACTCCTTTTCGCTTCACAGCCACACCAAAGCAGAAGTGAAAATGAGGTATTATTCTTTAGGCGGGTGGTGATGGATGGACTGAAAAGCAAATTTGCATCTTCTGGGTAAGAGCCCTGCTCAGAATAAACACAGGAGAATGGAGCCACTCTGTCCTTGAGAGCACACCTGAGACCCCCGCGGGACATCTCCAAGTCCTCAGTTTTATTCCTGTCATGTGCTGACTGCATGAGCAAGGTCTGGCCCTCAACCGAGGCAGGTGCTCACCTTCCTCTTTGTTGTTGGTGATATCTTTCAGCAGCTCAGTCTTCATGCAGGCGTCTTTCCTTGTCTCTCCCTTACTCAGCACTGCTCGCTAGGGTTGGGGAGAGAAGGGATGGGGGGGGTAGAAAAAAAGGAAATATCATGGTTTAGCTCAATGCTCATACACACATTGCATTTAAAAGATGAGACAATCATGGACACATCCTGTTTACATCACCGGCAAACCTCATTCTGCAAAATAATGATGCCAGGAAACTGCCACGAAGACACAGGTCAAAGATAAGGAATAGCAAGGCTTGCCCCAGCTGACAGCCCGTCTCACCCAAGAAGCGGAGGGGTTTCGAGCTGCACCCAGGGCTGAGACCTCACAGCTCTTTGGTGAAGATGCAGCCAGACAGATTTTCTGAGTGTAATGTGCTTGGGAATCCAGCAGAGTATGTCTGTACAGGCGTGGATTAAAATGGTCATGAAAGGCATCTCGAGGAGGTGATCCTTATTCTGAGGTTTTGGGTGGGGGAAGGCAGATCTATCAAACTTCTCATAACATACCGTTCAGCAACATTTACAGTCCCAAGTATGCTTTTGGTGTTTTGGGTTTTTTTGTAGTTCATTCAAATGTAACTTACACAATCCAAACCATCAGTGAGCTACAGCTAGCTCATCATTCATAACATCCATGTTTAATAAAGCTAATGAGGTCTATTTTTAATCCTATAGAAAGCAATTTTTCTTTTTTCCCCTCTTTTTAAATTTTTTTTTTGTAAGAAGGGAACACCTGCTCATCTTTTCTGCCTTTCACACACCTGGACTCACACTGCTAGATCAGGTTTGCAGCCTTAATACCTTCTCTTTTTTTTTTTTTGAAGTGTCAAGACAAAAAAAGCTAACAAAACAAAGGAAAAAGGTATTAAAAAAAAAAAAAAAAAAAAACAAACAGAAGAGAAGGGGTCCTTTGACACAGCTCTGTGTTTAAGGAGACAAGCTGGTCTGAAAAGTAAAGATGGCGACTGCCTTGCAAAGCTGCGGTGCGATGGGGGAGGCAGCGGTGCCGGCCAGGGCCAGGCCGGGCGAAGGGCTCACCGCACGCCGCCTGCGTCGCAGGGGAAGAATGAGCCCAGGTCAAGCCAACTGTTGTAGGCCAGCGCCGAGAGCAGATGGTGCCTGCAGCCATGCAAATCACAAGGTTTAAAGCGCACTGAGTGATAATGAACAAAAACAACCTGCCCATCTCCCATAAAGCAAGCAAACGAGATAAGACGCACACAGGAAGCCCCAACAAAACCATTCCCAGCAGCAGCTCGTCCTTCCCCACATCGGTTTCTGTCCGAAGCTAGCAGGGGAGATGAGCTCTGGTGTGGCTATTACCAGCCACCCTGTGATTTTGGTTTCCATGCAAACTCAGCTGCAATGCCAGGTGCCAGCAGGTACTGCAGCGCAGGGTCTTCACGCCACTTTCGGCAGCCCCCTGCCCCATGCAGGGCTCATCCAGCACTGGGTCCCTGCCCCTTGGTGCCTGCAGGACCACCCTGTCCTGCACCTAAATGCCACTATAGCTGCAAAGTGACATGCAGCTGATGGGAAGGGGGGGACTCGGGGGACGCCGGCTGGGCGCAGGTTCTTGGGAAGGTCTCCACCACTTGCCAGGCCTGCCCGCCCGGAGTAAGGGCACCTTCAAGGATTGCTCCTCTAGCGAGGAGGAAGGCGGTTGTGGGTGGCTGCCTGGCCCCGAGCACAAGCAAACAGCAAACACTGCCACATCCAGGTGCTCTCAGCAAGAGGGAACCTGTGCCCCAAGCACACCACCTTCAGATTTTCAGACTCAGACCAAAAAGCAAGCTGTAAGCATTTGAAACCTCAGCTCAGCCAACTGATCAGATAGCCTGCAACAGAACATACCTCCAGCAGATGCTGGCCAACAGCTTCCATCAAGAAACACAGCCCAAAGTTTGAACATAGATCAGCTTTCCTTTTTTTTTATTTGCTAAGCCAATAATATATATCCTTGCTGCAAACATCTGCTTATAAACTCTACCTCTCCTCCAGCCAGACTTCTTGTAAAATGGGAATAACTTAATTTTTCTCATGGACTTACCCTGCTGCAAGACTAACACAAAGAGCACTGCAGAGAGCTGGGGCTCTACCGCAGCCCCATGGCTCCCACCCATGGGAAGGGGCACCCAGGCCCTCGCCAGACACCAGCAGCAAATAAAGAGCCTCAGTCTGCCTAACAGGGACTGACTTGTTTTCCCAACCTTTGTTGCAACAAGGAAAGGTCTTGATATTCCCACTATTAAACTAACTCATACTGGAAGACCCAGGATTTCCAGCAGGATGTTCTTAGCCATCCAATTCCAAGTTTTTCTTTATAAGCAGTACCCCCACATCACAAATCATCCACATTCTCCCCTCTCGTGCTGCTCAGCCCATGATGCCTGAAGAAAAGCCACAGCAGGAACCCTGGAGTCAATCAGACCTCAGCAGCTAACGACCACCCTCCCTCCTTGCTGCAATTACCAGGAGCTTGGGGCTGCCCCAGGTCCCGGCCAGCAGCAGGAGCTCTCAAAGCAGAATTTCCAACGCCAAGAGAGAAACCATCGCTTTTTTCATGTGAGAGTAAAAAACCTGGGTGCCAGGGCAAGGCTAACAGAGGTGCCACCTGACAGGCTCTCCTGGTTCCTATCTCAGAGACAAATCCCTTGCTAGCAGTGGCGGCGGCTTTACAACTTCCATGCCTTGCTCTGAAACAAAAAAAAAACTCAGCATCAAGGTAGAAAATAAAATAGTAATTGGAAAAAAAAAAAAAAAAAAGAAGCCAACTGTGAATTCTGAAGCATTTTCATCAAAAGGAAACTACAGGAAACCCCTGAAAAATGCTTGAAGCCTCTTCCCCCCAGGCCAGCGCTCTCCCCTCGTTGCTCCATCACCACCCGGCAGATGCAGCAGCCGGCACCCAGCACCGACGGGCACCCACCGGGCACCCACCGGGCACCCACCGCCAGCCAGGCAGCGCTGCCCATTCATTCCCACCGGCCCACGGCTCCACCCAGCCAACTTAGCAACAACTTCACCGCAAGTGTCAATACCTCCATTTTTGTGTGTGTGTTGAGTTTTTTTTCCCTCCCCTCCCTTAAATTCAGAGCAAACTTCCCTTTCTGCTCACTCTCCCCATGCCCCAATCCGCCGGCTCCCGATTGGCAGGGAAATCCTATACCCACCCTCCCCGCCGAGAAATGTCTGCTCTTGCAGCAGTCCCAACAAAAGCCAACTGCCAAGCACAGGCTGCTTCACAATAAAAGTCTCACTCGCTCCATTTTTTTTTTTTTTCCTCCTTCCCCCCTTTCCCGCAGCCATCCGCCTCCATTCCCTCGCCGACCCCAGACTGATTATTAACCTTCCGTGGCTGGAGAGCCTCCATAATGAGTACACACCACCAGCAGTGAAGCATTATCCCCCCCTCAACCCTTTTATTTTTAAGGTTCAAGAGGAATCAAAAATTATTGCATCTTAAGAATGACTGATTAGGTCTTTGAAAGGGCTCTAAAAGCCACGAGGATCCAAGCAGAGGAGCTAGTGCTGGTTCAGTTTTTCCTCTTCGCTTCTGTTTACAAGAAAACAAGGCTTCCTCTTCTCTGTGAGGTCTTTGCAGGGGATGGAAGATGGGTCAGACCAGCCAAGGCTTTGCAGCACTTCCAAACAGACGATGACTAGAAACTACAGTGGTGCCTTTAAAACACACAAAAAAAAAAAAAAAGCCCACAAAGAAAAAAAAAAAAAAAGAGAAAAAGAACAAAGCTGGGAAACACAGAAAGAGCCTTCTCAGCCTCCTCCTTGACATTTTCATCAGCCATCCGGGTGCCCTTCACAAAGGTCCAAACAGGTTTTATAGGCAAAGACAACACATGCACAGCAAAACTCCAACATATTGCAGCTTACCAAGCCCAAGAGACCAGTGAGTTACATCATGAACCAGAGCTCTCTCCAGGCAGACCAGGAAGGAGCGGAGGTTGATGTGCTAAGATGTCTACCTTCACCAGGGTCTTTTTTTTTTTTTTTTTTTTTTTTTGTCTTAAAAATCAACTGTCTAAGAACCTGAGGCTTTGCAGCAGCATTATTCTGATCGGAGCCATGCAGCTAAAGCAGGTCGATCTGAAAGAGGGCTGGGAGCAGGAGGACCCCTCTGAACCTCTGCTCGCTCCTGCTCAGGGCAGCAGCTGCCCCAACACATCTGCCTGCAGACCAGGCGGGATGCACGGCACCGATCCTGCCCACCCTGCCTTCCGCTTCGGTGGACACCAACCCCCCAGAGGTGACACCACGGGGCATCGCTCCCCGCGAGCGGCTGGGACACGCGCCCCAACGCCAGCTTCCCAGCAGAGCCGGGGCTCAGCAAAGCTCTCGCCAGCCCTTCAGCAAGGCAGGATTTCACCTCCTGTGCAAGGTGGCAGCGAGGTCTGCAATACACACTGCGGCAAGGCAGAGAGGCAAAGCTCTCAATAAATGATGCAACCCCAGCAGCAGCAGATTCTCATTCACTCATTTTTTTCCTCCCTTCTCCTAAAAAAAAAAAAAAAAACCAAACAAAAAAACAAACACCACCACAACCCAAACCAACTTGCTCATAATAACCTTTGCCTTAAAGAGAAGACAAACATTTTGTACTTAATTATATAGGAAGTAATGACTAAGAAAATGCTTGTAGAAAGAGAGTGTTTCTTTTGAAGGCACGTGAAGGCTGCTCATTTCAGATCTCGGTGCTGCTCAGGTCCTGCTGTGCACAGGCCAGGTCTGGGATCGCTGCTCGTGGGGACACTGACCACGGGCCTGTCATTAGAAGCAGCAGAAGCATTTGATCTGGAGAAGGAAGGAAACGTAACCACCAGCATACCTGGCCTACAAAGCAGTCACCAGTCTCAAAGCTCCTTTTTTTTTTTAGGTTAAGGCCACTTCCTTATAAGCCTCATGCAATCATGTGAACATGGAATTTTATCTGCAGCTCACAACAAGCACTGCCCTCAGCCTGAAGTTTCTCCCCAATCAAATTATTTGCAATTCTGTTGTCTCCTGAATTCCTTTCATACAGACTCTTCCTAAAAGAACAGAAACACTTCCTTCTAGACCCCCATGTCCTCTCTCCTATTCCAGCCACACAAATCAACTCCTAAAACAGGGGGAAAGGTAGGAATGAGGCGCAAGTCCCTGCATGCAACAGCTGGGAACAAGACACGTGCATGAAACACAACATGACTTAAAGTGACTTCTCGTAAGACAACGCGGTCCACAATGGCGTGCAGGCTTCAGGCAAGGGGGGTTTGCAGAGCCCATGCCCTCCAGTAAAGGGAGATCGATTTACACTTCCCAAGTGCTTCCACGCTGGGAAGCATCATACCCATCTAGCTGTGTCCCAGTAGAGTTTTTAAAGCCAGTGCAACTTGTATGTGCAGGCAAGTGTAAATCCAGAGCAAAGGCATCTCCTCCTTCCACGGGCTGAGGTTAGCAAGGAGTACAGCTGCTGTCTGCCTTCTCCTAGCACCCATGAGGGGAGGGGGGGAAAGAAAACCCAAAAATGGAGACCAAGATTCATCACTATCTCTAGCAAAAGCAAACCAGCCATTTCAGAAACACTCAGTCCCCAGGAAGGCTTAGCCAGGAGAAAACCACAGCACCAGGAGGACCCTGGAGCAAGCAGGTCGTAGCACCCCAGGGAAGGGGAGCTGGAAGGCAGCTCACCCCCATCAACAGGGCTCAGGCTCCTCTTCAGCCTCCGCGCTCCTCTTCCTCCCACCCCCAAACCACCACAGCCAGCGGAGCAGCTCCCTCTGCCCCTGCCCGTCCCAACGGTGCCTGCCAGAAGGGCTTGTCGGGTCGGCGGAGGAGGGAAAGCCCCGCATGGGCTTCCCTTGGGACCTGGAGGACCTCGTTCTGCTGCCCACACCACCTCTGTCTGGGTCACCTCCAGCCATCGAGAGGCCAGCAGCAAGACAGCGACGCCTGCGAGCCGGAAAAGCAGACAAGGAGAGGGGGAAAAGAAAAAAAAAAAAAAAGACAAAAGAAAACTAATAATAATAAAACTTGCACCCTCGGGCCTGTCCCTCTAATAACTACAGCAAAACCTCACCAAGGCTTTACTCTCCTGGAGGGTGAGAAAGCGACACAGCGCTGCCCAGCACCCGAAGTCCTAGAGGTGGGAGATCCTCACACCCTCTCCTCCATGGCCTACGGGCTTCGTCCCCGGCGTGGGGCCTTTTTTTTCTGCTCTGTCATTAAGAGGAGCCTGGTCTTTTCCTTCAATCCCAAGAATTGCACTGAATTAGATCATCTTTCTCGGCTCACCTCCCCCTACAGGCAGCTCCCGAGCATGCTCAGCTCGGCCTGGCGCTGCCATTTCATAACTGCATTGTTTACAGACACACACTGACCTGCCATTTTTTGACAGGAGGAGAGGAGCAGGCGTTTGCCTCCTGACCGCCCGCGGCCCCCTCCAGCCCCTCGTAATAAAAATCTGCTTTAGAGAAGGGAAATGGCAAGAGTGTGGAAAGTAGCAGGCTGTGGGTTTGTGGTGGTGGTTTTGTTGTTTTGGGGTTTGGTTTTGTTTTTTTTTTTTTTTCCCTTTTTTCTCCTTGATTTAGGTCAAAATCCACCTGTTTTGGAAAGAGAAGTTAACCCCTTTGGGGGCTGAGGAGTGGGGAGGAGAGGTCTCGCAGAGCTCAATGCAAAATGCCAGCCATGATTTTTAGCTTCTTCACATCACAACTGTGCTTCGATGTCACCTAAAAATATAATACCCAGCCCAGTCTGCCATCCTCTGTCAAGCCTTCCTCTGTGAGAGAAAGGGTTGGAAATATGGTATTTCCCTTGAATAAACATGTTGGCTTAGTCCCAGCACATACAGTTTTCTCCTTTAAATGCAAACCAGAGTATTTTTGCAGGCACACAGGAAAATGAGGAGAGGAGGAGGGGAAAAGTTACTCATTTAACACCAAGAGCTCCATGAAAAGCCTTGCGAGGTTGCTCTGAGCCCCCTCTCTGTTCCAGTCCTCTTCCTGTCCGTCCTGATGATACTTTACAGGTGAAAGCAGCTCTGAATTATGACGGAGAGAAAATGCCAGAAGAGCTGGAGGTTTCCTCATCCTTGGAACAAGGACAAGTTGTGAAAAGCTTCCTTTGCAAGAGGCACTGTGCTGCTCCGACACAGTATGGCAGCATTGCAGGGAAGACACTTGCACATTAGATCTTCTTAACCCCCACTGCATCAACCTTTCTCCATCCTGTCCACCAGCCTTCCCCCTCCTGATGGGGACTGAAGGAAAAAGATAAATAAATTACCTGATTTGGGGGAAGCAAGCTTGGATCCCAGAATATTTTTTTTAAAAAGCCTGCTCTACATTTTTTCCCCTCTAAGTTCTGTTCTTTTTTTTAAGGATACTTTCCAATTAGCTTGTACAGCGTGTGTGAGCTTCACTCCTGCTGCTTTCCTGACTACTGTAAATCCTGGCAGGCAGTGCTGCCCGCTGCCCATCCTCCTCCTCTGCCCCCTCAAGGCTCAACACCACCATACAGCAAAGCCAGACCAAAGAGACCAAGGAGCTCACATAGGCACAGGGAGGGATGGATCCCACAGGACCAAGGGAAACAAGCAGGGACATAAGGGTCTCCTCTGGAAAACAGGGCTAGTGTCAAAACTCTAAATTCACAGGAGTCAAAAAAAACCTGACTGAAAATAGTAGTTAAGGGCTATAAATCCAAAATTCTTTTCCAAATCACTGACATTACATGTCACTGCAGGAACATATGGTCCTCCAAGCCTCGCAAGCAGGGAGCACGCACTTTCAGAGCCCCGAGCCGTTCGGGTGAACCAAAAGCAAGGCAACTCTCTCACTGCATCGATTCCTCGACCGCTCTCAGCTCCCAGGAGTGGGAAGGGGAGAAGGAAAAACTTCAGGGAAAAGCAGAAAAGGACAACAAAGAGGATCAGCAGGAATCAAGCCAACCCTACCCCAAACCAGCTGGCCAGGAGGGGGAAACTCCTTAAAACTCCTTGTTTACCTGAATAAAACAGCTCCCTGCCATTGCACGAGAGGCACGTGATCCTCTTTCGTTAGAAGATGGCACCACGTGGAGAGGTCAGGGGAGCCAGGCTGGCAAAAGCAGCCCCAGGATGGCCACTGCAGCCCGAGCCCCCAGGTCACGGGCCTCATCCTGCCCCCCGCACCCCTATTGCCAGGCCCAGGTTTTGTCTAACAGGCTAATTAGTCAAAAATATGCCTCAGCTGTGCAGCAGAGCTCAGCTCTGTCCAAATGTATTCTTTGGAAGAAGGGAATAACTGGTGCTGGCACTTAAAAGTCAGTTAAGTACATGAAGGGGGGAAAAAAACAAGATTCCAAGGCCCCACTTTGGGGCTCTTAACCCTTGCTGAAAAGCAGCACGAAGTCCAGACCTCGGGTTTCTCTCTTCCCTCCAAAGTAGGTCAGGCTTTTCAGTGTCTCTCTGCAGATGCTTGCAAAGGGCACCAGCCAGCAGGAACGGAGCATTAGGTGTTTTTGGCCGGCTGTCACACCGGTGTCATCGTGGTCACCTCCACACAGGAGCACATACTGCACACTTCAGCAGTTTTTTGGTTGCTTGTTTCCTCAAGCATTCATTAAACCCAAAGCACACTTTTTCCCCTGGATGGGAGCTGATCAGGCACCACGTCAAGGCCTCTGCTCTTCACTGTTAAAAAGAAATCTCGTTTCTCTCCTCATGACTTCCTCTGATGCTTTTTCCTTTAGCACACATCTTCTACATGACGAATATTGAGCGTATTTATAGTCCAGTGAAGACACGATAGATATTTAGATTAGGTATCATAGATCATCCTGTAAGCTCCCTAGTCTTTTAAATGCCATCTTCACATCTCACTTCTTGATTGAAAATTCAATACCATGTCTGCATGGCAGCTTCAGGGGTCCTCCTCGAGCACAGCAAGCTCAGGCCAGTGTTTTGCCCACTGGCAGGGGTGCCCGGACCCCTCACGGCTCTGGGACCTTCGGTGCCCACCCCAAGTCCCACTGAGGTCTGTGGCAGCCAGCAGAGCTGTCCGCTTGTAACACAAACGACAGCAAAAAAACCCCTAAGAGCACAGCAGGGCCAGGGGTCTGAATTGTAGGCAACTTTTAAAATAAGCTGCAGATATGGGCCTCCTGCCATGAAATCAACTGTGGATGTTTCGTTTTAATCAGCTGTTCCTTTGGATTGCAAACTACTATTAAAAAAAAAATAAGAGAGAGGGGATGAAGCCACCCCAAAATAAAAAGGTTTGTTTATTCCTGGTAAAATAATGTTCGCTCTTGCCTCCACCCAAAGAAGTCAGCTGTAGGCTTGCTTGATGCAAGCAGAGGCTGTCAAAGGAAGCTTGGTGAGGAGGTGCTATGTGGCCACAGGCCCTTTCCTCCCCTTTGGAAGTTCAGTCGAGCAGCTCGGACATCCCAGGGTTTGCTCTTCTTGCTTACAAGAGCTGCAAGCAGGGAGGGCTCCTGGGAGAATTTTCCAGAAGCTTCACATTTAAATTTTTTTTTTTTAAAAAGCACAAAAAAAAAAAAAAAACCCAAACCAAACACACACAAAAACCCCACAACAAAGCAAAAAAACCAACCCCAAGCAAGCCTCCCCACCCCAGAAGAGAAATAAAAGACCACCCAGACGCGAGGAAACAAAGCCCGAGCTTTCCCGGAGCCAGGCGACGTCGGATGCCGAGGTACCTGCACGCCCATGGCGCAGCACAGGGCAGGAGTCACCGCAGCACAGACAGGCCTGGCCAGCCCCCTCCAGCCGGCTCCCCAGCGCGCCCCGCGTGCCCTCCCGCGCACAGGGCAGGAAAATCAATGTGTAGAGAAAGAAAGAAAGAAATAACCCCCAGCCACGATTCCCCGAACTGTCTTCCTCCTCTCCAGAGCTTCTCCTTCCCCAGTGGGAGACAGCCTGCCTGTGGCCAGGGTCGGCGGGGAGCCGCTCTTTGCGAGGCATGGGAGATGGACCCTGCTGTACCTGCAGACATCTGTTGTCTTCTTCTGGTGAAGACTCAAAGAGTTGCATATTCCAGATCCTCATGAGCAGTGATTCAGTTTCTGCTCATGTGATAAAAGCTCCCTCTACAGAGTGAGCATGCCCAGAGGAGACCATTTCACTGCTCCCTCCAAGCTGCAGCCATTTCACAGAGAACCTGCCGGCTCCAGGGCGTCCATTGGAGCGCGATTATCCCGGGCATCCCGGGGACGCACCGGTAATGCAGATCATCTGTCAACTTTCTGACAGGGTGCCAGGCCTCAAAACTGATCGCTCGCCTGAAAAAAAAAAAAGCCTTTTAAACCATAGAGCGAGGTGTTCTGTCCCGGTGGCCTTCAAGAGTAGCCCTTGCCCCCAGGAAAAGGAGAGGCAGGAGGGACAGGGAGGGATGCTGCGTGGCTTGGGGACGCTCCCGTGCTGATTTTGTCCTGTTTAATGAAGCGCCCGACCTCTCAGTGCTGGGATGAAGGCACACGGGTTAAACTGTGCAGTGTCCAACTGCAAGTGCATTTGAGATCTGATCTGCTGAGCTGAAGAGGAGTTATTTTTCACTTTGGGGATTAATAAGACAACCTGACCTGGTACAACCAACCTTTAAAAAGTATCACGAACAGCATCATTAAAAAGAGGGGAGGGAAAAATGGAATAAGGGGGGAAAACCCTAATGAAGTGATAATACACTACTAGGTACAGGAGCTCTGAGCTCAGCCTATGTCAAACCATATGATACAGCTGGCCCAGCCAGCACAATAAAAGAAGAAATTTTAGCTTCAAAATAAAAGTAGTTTGTCTCTGTTCCACTTAACAATTAAGCATAAACTCTTGGCAATCTTTGTATCTGCTCAAGCTCCCAGTAAAACTGCCGGAACAACTCGCAGGAACATCTGTAAGCAGAGATCAGCTGGAAGGGATTCAAGCGAAAGACTGGCATTTATGGGAGGCAGGAGCAGGAGGCGGCTGGAGCTGGGTGTTGTGTTGGAGAACCTCCCACCCGAGCAGGGGGAGGGCGGCCGGAGAAGAGGCCAGAAGGAAGAGGAAACTCAGAAATGGACTGTGGCACCACCCGCTTGTTCTTGGCCAAAGAAAAAAACAGTTTTCAAGAAAATAAGAGCACAGAAGATAGCACTGTTGAAGAGTAAAAATTAAAATGAAGACATGCTGAGTGTAATGGGTTACAGTGGGCCGGGTGGGCAGGGAGCAGCCGGCACTGTAGGGAGGAAAAAAAAGCTATTGAAATCCATAGTGTGGTTTTGAGGAGCCCAAGGACTTTGTTTTCCTTACACCTTGCACCAAAAGCAGGCTTGCAAATTCAGGCCTTCAGCACAAGCACGAAGCCATTGCCTCCTCTGCTCTACCATCCCTTCTCTGCTGAGCACCACAGGAACGTGTCCTGCCACTGCATTACTGCGGGCTGGAAACATCAACAAGCCACTTTTTCTCCAGCCGAAGCAGCTAATTCACCACCATGTCCAGGCACATTTGCAAAACAGCAATAGTTAAAGCAGCACAAGAGCCTGCCACAGATCTGCCTCAGCTACAAGGATGTTATTTTTCTCTCCACACTTTGGAGAAGTTTCACTGCTAAACAGTTAAAACACACAAGACTAAGTTGAGATGACTGAAATTCACAGAGAAGGAATATTTGAGGTGACAGTATAAAGCAAGGATTTCTCTTTCACCCACTGGGTTTTTGTTTGATCTAAATCTTAAATTTTAATATACAGAAAATGAGATTTTCCTGGCCTTTCTATCAGTCACTGAGAGGTATAGAGGTAACTCATTTAAGACAAATTCAAAAATCCCCAAACAAAAGCAACAAAAAACAACTACACAGACAGAAGTTGTATTATCCACCGCATCAGAAGATCACAGTAGTTCAAACCAAAGATGGCTTTAAAACTGTTGACGTTGCATTGCCCTTCCTTGCAGCATGAAATTACCAAGCTTTCATTAAAAACCCAGAAATAGAAACAAAGATA